CTAGAACTCCCCGTCTCCTGGTGATTGGCCCAAAGTCACCCAGTTGGTTTTCATGGCTAACAACTCAGGACTAGAACTCACCCTGTCCCACTTTCTAGCCTGGTGCTATAACCAGTAGAGGAAACTGCCTCTTATCAGAAACACCGTTCCAAACTTCAAGGACCGGGGTCATGCCACCCTTCTTCCAGCACCGTCATAACTTCCCATGGTCACTGAATGAATTCTTTGCAATATTGGCATGCCTTGGTGGGGAGGGGGAGGGGCTTCTCTCTGGGGCTACTAACTTTCCCTTTTCTTTGTTTTTTTTCCCCCTCCCCTCTTCTCTTCTCATTCTCTTCCCTTCCTCTTCCCCCCCCCGACCCCCCTAATCTTGCCTTCTTCCTACCACCGCCCCTGCCTCCCCCCCAGAGCGTCTCTCCAGCCAGCTTGAGAAAAACCGGCTGCTGGCGAACGAACTGAAGTTAACTCTGCATGATCTGTGCGATTGACACCCCCCCCCCCCCTCCAAAAAAGACCCCCACGACCAATTGGTCCACCCTTTTAATTTTAATTTTATTTTGGGGAGCCCAGTTCCTGGGGTGGCCCGCAGGCTAAAAGGGTTTTTGTGAAGGCAAAGCAAACCCGTTTTCTCCCAAGTGAAAATGCTTTTCAGCCGACAACCCTCGGTCGTTTCCACTCTTAAATCGTCCCCGTTTTCTAAGCTTCACAAGTACGCTAATCACCCAGCCCGTTGCCCGTCGTAGACCGAATGCCAGGAAACTTAAGAGCTCGTGTGTTTGAGAAATGTTTGTATTTTATTTTATGTTCCCCCGGGGCGCAAAGAGCGATGCTAATTCAGGCCTTTTCGTCCCCGTCCCCGTCCCCTTATATGGCTGCCTTCCTGTTCCCCACTTGATAATATAATAATAATAATCTCTGCGGCGTTTTTCGTTTTGTCCGTGGATGGATCGAACGGTCTGCGCTTTTCCTAAATGCTTCCTGTGTTTCAATAAAGAAAAAATCACTGGCCCGCTTGTGACACACGCCTGAGGTCTCCTTATTTCTTCGACCGCAAAGTCATTTTTAAACCCGATGTCCGACAGACAGGAAAAACACACACACAAAAAAAACACACACCCTTTGGTAGGTATCTCAATTCCCCTGGCATCGGTTCAGCTGACGGGGAGGAGGATCCGTGGCTACGAGAGTTCCATCCGGCTGGTGTTGCGGAAGTTGGAAACAGCCAGAAGCATCTCGTTTGTGTAGGAAGCATGCTTTATTTGTATTTATTTTTTATTTTGGCACTGGAAAGATATATATATATATATAAAATTTATATTTATATTTTATTTGCTTTAATATAAAGGCTGTTTTCCAATCCTGGCTGTTCGTTGTTTGGCCTGGAACGGAGTTTAGTGTTTTCCTCTTCCTTTGCTGCTACGGAGTTTGAAATCCCAGGGAATATTTATCCCCCTCCCCACAAAAAAAAAATCCTAACAATTTCTGCTTTGCACACGGCGGCAAGCTTTTGGCTTTGGTCACGGGATGTGGGGGGGAGACTTTGACCCAGAAATGGAAGATCTGAGTTCTGATCCTCATCGGCCGAAACTTTTGGGTTAGAATATTCCAGGCTGTTCACGCTTTCTCAGCTCAGCTGCTTTGCAGGATCCGGCGTCCCTGCTCAAAATAAGAATTGAAATGAACAAGCCCTGATGTGAGTGTTCTTGTGGGGGTGTATGAACGTCGGTTTGTTTCCCCGGTGATGGGTTTTGCACCGATGGTTTTGATTGATGATTTACGAGGAGGAGCAGCTTTTCAAATGGATCCTTCGCCCCCTGCATGATATCCTGAACTCCGGATTCTCTACTGCATTTTTTTTTTTAAAAAAAATATTATTTTGCAATGCTCACAACTCCCTTTTGCTCAGACCTTCAAAAATAAATCCTGTGCATCTCTTCCATGCAAGACGAGAAAACGTGCAAGCCCAAAACATCGCAAGCTAAAATGTTGTGATTTTGTCACCGAAGCCACGTGTGGGCTTGTGTGGCCTCCCGGCCCAGAAATTGTTCCGTTGTGGTTCCAGGTTTGGGATTCTGGAGTAAATCTGTCCTTGAAGCCAATAACGGAAACTTTCAACATCGGCAAGAAAAATTAAAACGAGGAGGTCCTTGACAACTCTCCAAGCTCAACGCTTTTCTTGCAGACGTTTCACAACCCAATCAGGTAACATCATCAGTGCTGGTAGTGTGGATGTTACCTAGTTTGGGTGACGAAATGCCTGCAAGAAAACAAGCGAGGTCAGAGAGCATCCAAGACTCTTCGTTTCTACCCTCAGGTTATAAAATATTCTCCTTTATGGGTAAAGATCGAAGCGTTCCAAGTTTTGGACGGACCGTTTTCTTAAGCCTTGGTTCAGCCCGCTGCAGAAATTGGCGGAGGAAGGTTACACAAATTGCATTTTGTGTTTTTCTTTTTTGTCCGGCGCCATACCGCACAAAACTGCTTTACCTTTGGCCTGCGGGCACAGCTGCAACCGACAACCTCGCGGGGTTATAAATGAACGGAGAGAACCGTCCCGGTGGGAGCTGGGTAGGGGGAGGAGAGGCAGAAGCACAACCCATGCCAAATCGAAGCTTTGCGGGGCAGCACGGCAATGCCAGGGGCGCCGCTATTTTTTGGCGGGGGGGGGTGGACGACAACAAATCTCGGAGCACCGCTAACATGTTCTGCCCTTCCTTCCAGATAAGCTGAAGTGCACCAAAGAGGAGCATCTCTGCACGCAACGGATGTTGGACCAGACCTTGCTGGATCTGAACGACATGTAAAAGACCCCCCTCGGCGGCCAACCGTGGCCCCCTCTCTCTCTACCACGCGGCCCCTCCTGAGCAGCGGCGATTCTCTGCTTGAGTTTATCTCTGTTCTTTTTTTCCCCTTTTTTCCTTTCAGGAGAAGGGAAGAAAAGTACCAGAAAATTTGATCTCTAAACCCTCCGAGGTGGGGAAGAGAAAGAAAAAAAATTATTATAAATTACATTCCTGAAGTTTGGGGCCGACTTAGTTTAAAAACAAAAAAACACCTCTGCCGTGTTTTTATTTATTCTTTGCTTCCTTGCCCGCCAGACATTCCCAAATTTTCAGCCGGAAGGAAGGAAGGAAAAATAGGTAGCTCTCCCCCCCCCCCACCTCCCTGGGAGCGAGCGCGACTGAAATGCACCCTTTTAAGGCATGAAATTATATGTGGCCGAACGTGTGTTTCGGGTTAACAGCCCTCCCTTGGCGAGCACGTGTCGCGTAGGCTTCCTCCACCCCCAAGTGCACAAACGTTGAAAGCGCACAGCTTTTAAATCGACGTGCCGTTCTGTTTCGCCTCTCAATCAGACGGGGCCCGATGTGACGGCGCGATCGAAGAATCCCAAATCCCGTCGTTTGCCAAAACAACCGGCAAAGCTTTTGCGGCATCCGCTTAACGGAGAAAGATTTGCTTCCGCCAGGAAAAAACAGCCCTTTTTTTTTTTTCCTCCTCTTTGTCTCTTCCCCTTTTCCCATTTTTGGGGGGGAATATTTAAATTCGCCTTTTTTTTTTTTTTTAAGGAATAAGTTGGGCTGAGGTGCGCTTTCTCTGCTGCTGTTTTAATCCCGTGTTTTTAATAACCTTTTTTTTTTTCCCCCAGCTAGGGGAAAAAAGAACTGTGTTTAAAAGAAAAAGAAAAAAAAACCATAATCGGGGTCCGTGTGTGGGTTGGTTTTTTTTTTAAAAAAAGTTTCCTTTTCTTTAAACCCATGTAAATTGTTCTTCAGCTCCTTTGCTCTTTTCTGCACTTAATTCTGACACTTTGGGGAAAACATTATATCCGAATAATCCACGTTTTCTTCCCACGTAGGTTTAAGTTTCCGGGTGCTTGGTGTTGGGTGAGGAGAGGGGCTTGTAACTTTTTGAATATGATGGGTTTCCCCCCCTCCCTCCTGTTTTTTGTTTCTAGCCAGGAGCTGATAGTTCATGGGGGACACCTCTGTACTCTCGAAATTTGATCCCCTAAAGGTTGTGTTAATTTTTTCTTTTTCTTTTCAATCTCTGTATAGGCCTTTGGGGTGTCATAGGAAGAATACTGTATACGCTGCCATGGCTTTGAAGAGCCACTGTGTGTATTTGTGGGTGGGGTGGGGGGAAAGGGAGGAATGAGGAAATTATATCAAGTGTTTTGATACTAAAAAAAAAAAATAGCTTCGGTCTTTTATTGTCTTTTTTTTTTGAATAATAAACAGAAATATTCCCTCTGCTCCTTTGTGATTTCTTTTAGTAGGACTTTCACTGGAGGGGTGGGGAGTGTTCAGAATTGCTAGTCCTTGACTTACGACCACAGTTGATCCCAAAATGTCTAGAATTATTATTAAAATTATTGGGACAAAATAGGTAAGGAAATTGTTTTTATTGACCACAATCTAGTAGTAAGTCAACAACCAGGCTGTCTTGTTATATTTACACCACCACAGAAAGTCCAAGGTTAGTTGATGGTTCAGCCCAATGTGTTCACAGTTTCTGGCGTAATGGCAAGACTGCCATTACGCCATAAGGGTAGAAATTAACTAACCCCCAACATTTGGGGGTTCACCATGAAGAAGAGCCCAATTTCTAGAACAGCCAGTTATTGCATTGAATCTTTTTTGCATTGCAAGTCTTGGCACCACCACTAGATGGCAGCAAAGGCCAGAGTTTAGGCCAGGGTGTCCCCAACCACCCTCTGTTGGTCGTTCTACAGTATTGCAGCTCAGAGATGGCCAATCTCCCTCGCTGATTCTTGAGAAATCCGATAAATACAATAAAATGGAATAATTCAAATTCCATGTTAAAAAAAAAAAAATCCGTGGAATCAAGAGTCCGCGCAGGCGCAATCGCGAGGAAGCTTCCTTCTCTCGCCCCCACACAAGCACGAGGCGAGAAGAGGGCGAGGGCGCACGCGCAGACCGAGGACACAGCGCGAAGTTGGCATGCGGCCAGGGCGGCGCATGCGCGCAAGGACAGCACGCGCGCGCGAGGAGCAACGCTTTAGGCCGCCATTTTTGGAGCGGCGGCCGGGCTCCTTTTCGAAGATGAGGGCGGTTTCCCGGCCGGGTCGGGCTCCGCCGCCGCCGCTTTTCCTCCTCGCCGTGGCGCTTCTGACGGGGCCCGCGGGAGCCTACAAGCTGAACGTGCCGAAAGTGTTGCTGCCCTTCAGCCGGGATAAGCGGGTGCCCTTCGTGCTGGGCGCTGAGGGCGGTTGTTATTCCTGGTGAGGGGGCGGGGCCTCACGGGAAGGAGGGGAGAACGGGCGGGGGGGAGTGACGTCACGGAGTGGGGCGGGGCGAACACCCGGAAGTCCCATTAGGTAAAGCTATGCTACTGCTAATGCAGACAGAATTTTTTGGGAATCAATCCAAAATTTGCAACAACAAAGAACAATTAAAAAAAGATTGAAAAAGTTTTAAAAATTAATCCAGAATTGGAAAAAAAACACTATTGTTAATTCAGAATTGGGGGTGGGTGGGAACTATTGAAAAAGTATTAATTCATCCAGAATTTGGAGATAAAAAAAAATATTGCTAGGGATAATTCATCTAGTATTGAAAAATAATCTATAAACAATTCATTCAAAATTTGGGGGAAAAAACCATTAATACAAAATTGAAAAAGGATTAATTCATCCAGAATTGGAAAAAATATTAATTATTCATCCAGAATTGAGGTGGGGGGGGCGGAATTCATTGATTGAAGGATTGAGGATTGAAAAAACATTATGAATAAGTCATCCATTATTGAAATAAAAAAAAACAATCTGCTGCTGCTGCTAAACCACTGAGGGTTTGAGGATGTCATCAGGGCGCCTGATGATATTGTAATGGCTGTGATGGTGTCATCGTCGTGCACCTGATGGCGTTGTGCCAGTGAGAAGTCATCGTGCATCTGATTATTTTGTGATGACTGTGATGGCGTCATCATGCACCTGATGATGTGATGGATATGATGTCATCATGCACATTATATTATTGAGCCAGAAGTCCATCTGCTTCGTGTGTGTGTGTGTGTGTGTGTGTGTGTG